TTGGTGACTAAAATACTATTTTAATAAAAATATCTCCTTAATAAATCTGTTTTGTTTAAATGCACTAAAATACATTGCCTATATTCACTGAGAAATTGATAAAATATTCATTTTCAAAATGGGTGTACTTAATTATGCTGAGCACTGTATATCAAGGCTGTCTCAATATCAGAGAAGAATTAGGTTTGTGTTTTATACAGACGCTGTGCACTAATTAAGGGGAAACAAATAAATATGAACAAGATTATAATATATAGAGATTGTTGGACAATATCCGAGAATCAATTACCAGAATGCACAATAGCAACAAAATTAATGAGGATGTAATGTTGTAGTTACAGCGAGAAAGGCAGAACATGGAACAGAACTGCTATGGTGATGAATGTTGAGAATTAAACAGCCATTAACAGTTGCGCTCTTAAACATGTGTCTTGTTTATCTCTGACAAATAGAACCAAGAAATGAATGCCTAAGAGAAGCAATGCCTCATTCATTTCTCAATACGCATTACTTAATTAAATCTTTCAGACGTGAGAGAGATGAATAAGTCATGACAAAAAAGTACACAAATATAGCAGGAAACTGCCTAAGAAAACCAAAAGGTTGAGAATTACTGAGTGCTCACAATACGATACTATCGTGATATATTATTTGAATTTTAATTGTATGTTGTGTTGTTCTGTGTTTTATTGAATTTTACTACCCCTTTATGATTAAAAACATTGTCCAAACTTTCCAGCTTAAAGCCGAGCTTTATTGTCATTCCTCTACATGTGTGGACACACAGAGGAACAAAATGTTGTCTCACAGGACAAAGTTCCTACATAAATTAATCATGAATACATTATGATGATGATATTTTTCTGAACAATTCAGAATCTTTACTGTCTATAGAGGATGAGGGAGCTCTTGGATTTCATCTAAAATAACTTAATTTGTGTTCTGAAGACACACTACGTTCTTCTGGGTTTGGAATGGCATAAGGGTTACTTTTATAATTAATTGTTATTAACAAATTATATTTTTAGGTGAACTATCCCTTCAACTAAATGGAAACATGTATCAGTTTGTTGATGGCAGTTCAACTTTATTGCTGCAGTGCAAAATGGCATTGTCAAGTGGACAAAAATATGTTGTATGCACCTTTCTGCATCGCAGCTTTATTTATTTGCTTGTGTATTTGCTTAATTTGCTGCTCACCAGAAAAAAATTCAAGATCACCATCTACTGCACTGTAAAGAAATTGATTTTAATATTAAACCAAATATAAAAATACCATATAATAATAAAATTGACAATATATTGATTTGGCCGTACATATATCTATACATTACCTGACAAAACTCTTTTCACATTAGTCTTATGAACAACAAATAATAACTTGACTTCTAGTTGATCATTTGTTATCAGAAGGGGCTTATATGAAAGGCAAAGGCCTCTAAAATGCCTTATCCTTCATCTTACCTCAGACATGCTCAATAATGTTCATGCCTGGTGACTGGGCTGGCCAATCCTAACGCACCTTGACCTTCTTTGCTGTTATGAACGTTGATGTGGAGGCTGAAGTATGAGAAAGAGCGCTATCCTGCTGAAGAATTAGCCCTCTCCTGGTGTTTGAAATATAATGGGCAGCACAAATGTTGTGATCTCTCGTATGCCCCTATACTCGGTGTAACCCCAAATCATGATTATTTCTTCACTAAACTTGACAGATTTCTGTGAGTATCTTGGGTCAATGCGGGTTCCAACAAGTCTTCTGCAGTATTTGTGATGACTGGGATGCAGTTTGGGAACAGATGATTCATCAGAAAAATCCACCTTCTGCCACTTTTCCAAATGATCAACGAGAAGTCAAAAAATGACTTGTTGCTCTTACAACTGGGATCAACGATAAGACTTTTGTCATGTACTGTATAATACTGCAGCAGAACATATTTCAATATTGTGGTGTATTAATATTTTCCCCAAAAATGTTCCCTTAAAAGAAACAGTGTCAGTCTAGACAGGCGAAGTTCATGTGAAGGAGAAACAGCAGGCATCAGCCACATAAAATTCCCTATCGCCTTAAAAACCCAGACTTTCACACAATCAGCATAAAGTCTGGTAAATCGCCCACTGAATCAACCCAGTTTGAATGACGTGAAACTTGTTTATCTTTTAAAGGTGCTTTGGATAAAAGCACAATCCTGAACGGCTCGCAGTCCTGCTGTCTACCACGGCATCAGTGTCGAGCTGCTCTCTTCAGTCCCGAAGCGACACTGCAGGTGATCTCAACTCATTAGAAAACAGAAGAGCACTTTCCATTCTTGTGTCTTTCCTTTTATGACTCACATATTATGCACATATGCACAGACACACACACATAGACTGAGCGGTCTGTTCAATGGCAAATGCAAGGAAGTCATTACAGAAGTTTAGCACACAGACGCGGTGAATCATCTCTGAATGATAGCACTTAAAATCATTAAGCAGTAATGCCAAGGCCTCCGTGTAACAAACTGCTTTTGTCATCTCAGCATGCCGAACTCGGAGTAAGAGCGGCTGATGGACGGCACCTACGCATCCACTTCATCAAGCTAGCATTTTTAACAGAACTTCACCTTAATAATGAACCCTGAGGCTTTCATGTAATACCTTTTTGCCAAAGTAAAAAAATAGCTTTGTTATAGAGGCCAACGCAGGTTATAAATCAGAGGATTTGGGTTAAGATGAAATCAATCTAGAGCGTTGCGGTCATGATGTGTGGAATTAACAAAATCGACAGGAGAGATTTTCAGAGGGTTTTGCCTGATGAGAATTAAATGAAGAGAAGCAATAGGAAAAATGGCTATTAAACAATCATTTTTAACACTAGTGACAATTGAATTCTACATGCACAACAGAACTATGAACCTTGCAAAACACTTAATATATGGTGAACGTAGAGAGTTGAATAACAGTTGCCTTCCATCTTTATTATAAGGCCTGAGCAAACACACAATAGCCATGTTTCCATTCAAAGATGCCAATTAGACATAAATAAAACTGGAAATACATAAAGCATTTGCGAATAAAGCATTGTTTCTTTCCAATGAGTCAAAGAGAATAAAATTGTCACTTTCTGAGAAACTAGTGCCAAATATCAAAGGCAAATGGAATTAGTTGCGTTAGGAGAAGCGACCGTGGTCCTTTTTTCTTATATAATATTTACTTGCACCAAAGAAGACAAAATCCAATGCACGGTGGCTTTTAGAGGCATAAGACTGTTCTTTAGGAGAGCTGATGCTCAAGACAGTTCTGGAGGTGATAATAATGAACCAATTTGATGATGGACTTTGGCTGAGGGATTTTAGAATGACCAATTTCAAATGTTTTTTTTTTATGTGGTTGGCCTGCTGGATTGTCTTTTACTACTGTCCCAGCAACCTTTTTTGTTATAACGTGATCTGTTAAAAGTTATGCTGGAAGTTATTCGATAAATGTGATTCCAGCATAGTTTATGCACATTTCTTTCTATTGGATAAAAAGTTTATCCTACTGATTTGGGTGAATAAGTTTTTTTATGAGCATTTTTCACATTTATGTACACCGTAGTGCTTACATTAAGCATTTTGTAAGTAATTTTCCAAAACGTGCATAGTTGGATGAAACCATAGCTATTTTTAGTGGTCTTACAATTAGTACATCTACAATTAATTGTGTAATTACAATCACACTTTTTAAAGATTACAAGGACCGCAAAGTCTTGGCCTGCATCTTGTGCTTTTGATAATTGCAGTTCAACTTGGATGTTTTTCAAAACAAAGGCCAACATGGATGATCTACAGAAAACAGTTGGCCCTAAAAAATAATTCTGCTTCTTTAAGGCTAAGGATGCAACAAATGTCTTACTTTTCTGTCTGTAACAGAAGTCTCATCGCTAATATTTGCATTGCAGATTGCATGAGTATAAAGTCAGTTATTACAGTCTCATTGTAATGCAAAATTAATTTCTATTTTGACAAATAGATGGCCAACTCATACGAGTAAATTGTCATACAGAAATGAACAGGGATTTAAGATTAACATTTTGTGAAGTAGTGTAGCAACCTGATGATGTGTAGTTTCACACTGATGAAACTTCTTACCTGATTTTTCCATTATTACCCGTTTGTCTTTGCAAAGCAGTTTTGGCACTTTGTGCATTGTATTAAGTGATATATAAATAAAGGTCACTTTGTGGTAGAGGCTAGGGGGTGACAATAAATGCATTCAGATATTCTAACAAAATCTTAGTGTTTCAGTTCTGAGCTCATACAAAACTGTCAAGTCATAAAAATGTATTTCTGAATAATAAGTTTTACCAGATATTAAGCTGCACCTCCTCAAAACTGAATTGTCGAGAGATCCCAAAAATAATGTAGCTGAGGAGAATCAACATACAACTGCAACATTATATGGTTTGTGTATTCAATATGGTATATATGGTAACTGTATTCTCAACGTCATGCATATGTATAAAGATAGTGTATATTCGTAATGTAATGAGAATCCACATAGACTTTATTACTGTATCGAATACTATATTTAATTTGTATATTAAATATACATTATAAACATGCATTTAACTCAAATATTTATAAATAAAAGTATATCAAACAAACAGCTAGTATACAAAAACAATATTAAATTGCTCTTTTATTAACCACAAACCTAAATGTGCAAGCTTTGCATACAGTATAGTTGTCGTAACTTTAAACTTTTAGCTACACTAAAAGATGATGTGTAATGTAGGAGGAATAAGGGAAAAAATATGATTTATATTCCAGATTATACATTGAAAAAATTTGTAGTTAAGTGTAGTTAGGAAGTAATCATTTAAAAAAAAAATTTTTTGCAAATATTCTTTTAAAATATGCACACATTTATCCTTTTTGTATGCCTATTACTTAAAAAGTCCAACAATTTTTTTCCCCAATTTGTAATGTATAATTGTGGGAGAGGACATTTGTTTGATCTGAACTACAGCACAAAGGATGTACCTTTTCACCGAGAGCTCTGAGACTGTCCAAGAAGCGCTGCCAGAAGTCTTTGAAGAGGGGACGGTCGATTTTCTTCAGACTGTCCTTGGTGCTGGCATCAACGCTGACATAAAGTTGAGTAACAGGCACGAGACTCCTATAAAAAAGAAAAAAAGTTGAAAAAACAGTAAAATTAACAATATGTAAAGAAGGTTTTAAACATATTTCTGTGCATAGGCGTAAAGATCTAGATCATTTTAGCCAGATAGAGCAGCATTCTTTATTTGCTGTGCGTATACTGTATAAAACAAAGCAAACCAAAACAACTGAGTGATTGAATTGGTGAGGTGAAAACTGAAGTCAAGCTAGGAGCAAGAAATGTTAAGATAATGTACCAACAACTGTCGGCTCTGGACTGTCCACCTATACATCACCCTATCACCCTTTTAATAAAAACAGTAGTAATGGTGAAATGAATCTTTCTGAACCAGCTCGACTCGAATTGTATCAGAAAAATGTTTGTTACTCGAAGCTTTACACATCAGATCTCAAAGAGAATTTATGCTGGTTAAATTGTAGGAAAGCACTGTGTTGCAAAAATGTCAAACAATCACAACTCAACAACTCACTGATGTAGTAATACAACAATAGTAATATAAACAAATTACTCAATTACTGTAGTTTTTGTACACATAAGGTATGTTACATTACACCACTGATGACTGTAGTAAAATCCAAGGTATTCAAAAGTATTTACATTTATCGCATTCCAACTGGTTCTTCACCCACCCACTCGTTCCAAGCATGAATCGAACCGGTGATTCCTGCATGGGAGGCGAATGCTTTAAGGAGGAGGCTGTGGGAGTGAGGCTTTCAGGCTGTACTCGCCAGCTGGCCTCAGTTACACAATATGCAGTGGTCTTCTTCGAAAATAGTTGTAAATAATACACTAATACACTTATAATATAATCGACGCCTAATGTCTCGCTATCAACACTACTAACCCACAAGAGTGTTAAAACCAAAGACTGTAAAAGATATGGAGATTGTATCCGTGATGTCACCAATAGGTTTCTGTAGAACACAAAAGAAGCTACACGTAGGTGTGGCCAACCATGGCCATTTTGTTTGAGCGTCATCACACCGACTGGGGGATACCAAATAAGGGCAAAGAGGCTTAGCTACAGACGCCAGCTGGCATTTTGCTTACACAGGCTTTTCCTTGGGAGAAATGCTTAAACATTCATTACCGGTTGTGTTCTGACCACATGTTGGTTGTGTACTATATCAATAAAGTGTTTAGTCTAATTTATTGGCCAATTTACCATTGCAGTCAGAAAACATCTGGATTTCCTGGAGCCAGCCCCCAAAGGTGAGTCAATGAATTGCTGTTTTAGTTACTTCCGTATTGGCTTCCCGAGGTAGTGTGGGAGGTTGCCGCTTGGTCTAAACCTTTGAATCAAAACTCGAAGCAGTCACGTGGGTATACAGGCAAAAATGAAGCTTCGGATGTCACTGATCATGTGATGATGGCAAAACGGATCACGCTCTGGTACACTGCTTTACTTTGAGATGTATAATTTTTTTTATACGTACATACTTCAAAGCCTTGGTGCACAATGACACACCCCTAGAAAACACTGTATTTCTAACAGTTCACTGTTAAGCCTGATTTATACTTCTGCGTCAAGTGACCGGCGCAACTCACGGCGCAGGCAACGCGCGCAGCTGTGCATTTATACTTCTGCGCGCTGTCTCTGTTGGTCTTCATTAACACTTCCGAAACGCTAGTGGGCAGTGAAGTGTAAATGTTCCTCTGTGTCGAGTTTCTTCGCTTCTGTTTTGCTATTCTGAACACTTCCTGGATGTACAAGTGACTCAAACTCGCTCATTTTGAGGCAGGAACCGGCGGACGTGCAACAACTTCAACTATGAGGTAAACACAAAAGAAAACTTTCCATCCGGAGCTCCTTCACGGGACTCCACACTTGTAAACAATCGCTCGCGCCATTCGCGCGGCTCTCGGTCCCGCCCAAACTCGTCAGTGCTACCAAGCCAACCAATCACAGAGCTTACGCTACGCGTCGTTGCGACGTGTAGTTACATTTTTTGAGAGGTGCACGTCAGTGACGGCGATGGCCACGGCGAAGGGCTATGCGTCAGCGTCGTAGCATACGCCGACGTTTGACGCAGAAGTATAAATCAGGCTTTAGAGTCACAAGTAACAGGAAGAAACCTCTACAAGATTTTCCTATGGAAAGAGGACAAGTCAGTCACCTTCACCCACCAATTTTTACATTTGAGAAGCTGACTCGTATCCTTCAAACACAACAGTCTTCTTGAACAGATTCACAAACATACTGGAAAAACCTTAGTAGGTCAACAATAACTTTCATTGATTGTGCTATGAGGCTTTGTAGATTTTAGATTTTAGATTTTGGCTCCATGACACTGCCATCCACTGGTCAATATCCTACATTAATGAAAGAAATCAGTTTCTACAGATAGGCAAATTAAGTCCTGTCCATATTGCTCATGGCATCCCCAGGGCTCAGTTTGTGGCCCTTTCTCTTTTGTAATTAACAAGCTTTCCTTTGAAAATTAAATATATATTTGTTCCTATGGCTGGTCAGGACTTCCTTCTCCTTTACACTTGTGACTTAAATCTGACAAACCCAATGTGTGATGTTTCTTTACACTATAATCATAGACGTTTTATTAAAAAGGTGTGATTTCTATCTTGATTCTCAGTTTTAAGTTACACTTTGTTAACTACTTCACCAAACATATTTCCTCCACCCCCATAAACCTTGCACCACAATATTTAGATGATATGACTCAGCTCCATTTCCTGCTCCACAAATACATCAACAAAATTCAGACTGCCCTCCTTGGGTTCTTAAAAAAATCTTAATTTAAACTGAAGGATATTGAAACGTTTATAAGTTTTCACACTGTATTAACAGCATTTTAAAACAGGCAAGATTTACAAACACACAAACCAACCAGGATGATGAGCAAGAGCAATAAAATTGGTCTCAGCTTCCGTGGTTACTTTGAGTTAGAGGTTTGTACCAGTGCACCACTTCATCCTTTCCCCCTGAAACGAACGCAATAAAACATTAGCATATTGATACGAGTAAAGCAGCAGGTGTAGGATCTCATTATAATTCCATACGAGAAAGCTTTGAGAGGGAACGCTCGGTTCTGGGACCCTCTGTGAATATCATTTTTTGCTTCTTTTGGTTTGTTTATCACACAGTAAAGACCTGCCTCAGCAGAGCAGTGTGACCAAGCTTGCAGCTACGTGATAAACAACGATTGACAAGTGTTTCTCACTTCCTCAGCGCACTGCCAACATGATATTTCAGCAGCTGAGGTAATGTTCCCTCACCCTGAGATAACCTGGCTGATCTGTGAGCAGCTTCTGCGTGCAGGAGTCAGGAGAACGAGGAGAGGATGTATTTTGCATTAAGCAAGGGAGGGAGAGAGAGAGAGAGAGAGAGAGAGAGAGAGAGAGAGAGAGAGAGAGAGAGAGAGAGAGCGCTAAAAGCTTTTGGCTTCTCCTGAAAACTCATAAATTTCAGCACAATCTGCTGGAATTGGAGGAGCTTGGAGCCGAAGACGCTGTGATTTGCAATTCAGTGCCTGATTATGGCTTATCAGTCCAGTTACAGCCCGAATGGGACTTCAAAGACTATGGAAAGACTTCAAACTGGAGGATGTTCAGTAGTTACTAATGCAGATATGCAGAGAACAAACACATTTAAAAAGGGGCTTGTCTGTGGGCACCAAATCAGATTTACTAAATGATGCATGACAAGATGTCCATTTTAATAACCACAACCAGGGCTATAACTATTTAAGATACTGAAGAGACTTTTTTTTCAGCATTTAATACACCAATGCACCAGAAGTTTTAAAATCTCACCTGATCTCTTCAGGAAATTGGGCGTTGGTGACCAAAAAGCTGGATATGTTCTGCTGGTGGAGTAGTTTAAGGAAGGAGTTGATCTCAGGATACATAATCGGTTCACCCACCAGAGACAGAGCACAGTGCTTCACGGTGAGGCCCTCTTCAAAACGCTCAGGACGAACACCTGGAACACCTGTTACATGATCAAATATACTGTTTGGTTAAAATTTAAAATGGTCACAACCTGAGAGCAGTTGTTAAAGCTAAGCTGGGCAATGTTTCGGTTACTCTGCCACTAGCCACAGAGATCAGTGTCAGACTGATATGCATTTCCCATGCAATTCTGTGATGAATTGTTGGAGGGAAAATGTAAAAAAAAAAAAAAAAAAAAAAAAAACAGTTATTGCATTAGGATTATTCGTATAATCAGAGACAAACATTTTTACTTGTCAAGCGCCAAATGAGTGTAATGTGGCAAAAATGTTACTTACCATTTTGACTAAAACTTTCTATTTTAATTCTAACAATGCTATACGCATGTGCTTTTGCATGATTCTTAGATAGAAAAGACTGGATTGTAATTATTTAAAGTGTTGGACTCTCATGCTGTCATGGGTCAAGTTTCTTCAAAATATTACTTCCGGGATGGTAATAACTTTGAGAGGGTGCTCGCTGCAGAGCCATTTGAGGAGAGCTGAGCTCCAGCGAGGGGGAGCATGAGCTGTCGCTCCTCCTCCTGTAAGCTGTTTTAATGCGTACACCAACCCCACCCCTAACCCTACCCCCAGTGACATCACTCGTAGAAGAAGTGCAAAAAAGGTGGAGCTCAAGCTCCCCCTCGCTGGAGCTCAGCTCGCCCAAATGGCTCTGCAGCGAGCACCACTTGATAACTTTTACAAATTAGTTTTTTAAAATCTGGCTCTTGGTTACGTGGCAAGGGCCAAAAATCCTTTTAGGAGCACTTCTACTAGAATAGTATGTGCATCACTGGCGCGAGAGCACTCCTATCACCTCATACCAGTAAATACCCTTGGCTGAGAATTAGTCCTATGAGTGTAAGTGCAAGTTAAAACTGATCTTGTTCAGCCAAAGTTATTTGAACCCTTTCACATGTCATGTTTAAACACTTCATGTGGTGAGTGGTGGCCATTTGGTGCAGTTTTACAACTTCTATGACAATCAAGAAAGTCCATTCCAGATTGCTTTTATATCGTAAACTCTCATGTGGTCGTGTTCAAATAATATGATGTGCTGTGAGAAAGCTAATTTTTTAAATGCTATTGAGTAACAATGTTTATCCTTTAGAGTAAATTGGTAAAATACCTAATAATTTGGTTAAACTGGTTTAATCAATCAATTTTAATTCTAGAACTAGAGAGCAAACATTTTTAAACCAAATAATGAGGAAAAAAAAAACAAATCTCATACCACAGCTATGACACTTACTACTTAGCCATATTGCCTAATGAATACAGCCCCGTTGACACCCTCTGCATTGATTAAATTAACAGTTCCTCTGCCCCTTTTAGGCTATTTTTTTTCTATAGTCTACAGAACAAACCATCATTACACAATAACTTGCTTAATTACCCTATCCTGCCTAGTTAACCTAACTAAGCATTTAAATTTCACTTTAAGCTGTATAGAAGTGTCTTGAAAAATATCTAATCAAATATTATTTACTGTCAACATGGCAAAGATAAAATAAATTAGTTATTAGAAATGAGCTACTAAAACTATTATGTTTAGAAATGTGTTGAAAAAATCTTCTCTCCATTAAACAGAAATTGGAGAAAAAATAAACGGGGCTAATAATTCAGGGGGGCGAATAATACTGATTTAAACTGTATATGGTTTGGGTTAGAATGTTGGTTTAGTTTAAGGTTAGTTGCATGTAATTATGCATTATTCATTGTAATTACTGTAAAAAAAAAAAGTGTATGAAACATGAGTAACAACGATACCCTAAAATAAAGCCTTACCAAAAAGCATTTAATTTATCAAAGAAATATCAAGAGTGCAAGTTCTAGTAAGCACACTACATTTCTCTCCCTATTTCTCGCTATCCAAGGAGTCTGGCTCAGTTTTTTAAGGTCTGTCTGTACCCTCGGCACAGCATGCTTTCTGGCCTTTCATCCGCTCTCTATGTTCACTTGTTGTGCGTTTGTTTACTCAGCCCAGGGTCATCATGGCTTACTTCTTGCTACACACAGCAGTGATGTAATAGCTAAATGTCAACTGCGCCACCAAGCCAGAGACGACGCTGAGACCAAGACGGTGTCACGGAGGTGGTGCAGCACTCACACACACATACACATCTGGCAACAACTCAGACACTGGAACATAACCTACTGGAGACTCCATCAGCAGCCTCGATTTCTCAGACCTGCAACAAAAGCCCAATTTGTGGACCAAAATGTTTAAATCGAAACCCTCCCTGTTCACTTCTCGAAACATGAAGGAACAAAAGCTACTATATGGGAAAGTTGATTTCTAAAAAAAAAATAACTCAACTAGAGCATCGTTCTCTTTACAAAATACAAAAATAGCGTTTGCCATCTGTACTATCAATGGGCGACATCTCAAATTTCGAACAGCAGAAGTCTTAATTTAAGGATGATAAAATCGAATCAAACCGACTTTGTTTGGGACTGTTCCACCCCACCTAATGACATTCCCAGCAGATATCATCAGAAAACTCCCTCTCGTAGCTGCAGATCTGTTTTGTAGCCATCTACGCTAGACATCGCTGATGAATTTTTCAGACTACTGCAGATGAAGGGAAAAAAACATCAAACAGTCTGCAAATCACCCTATATTCTGGAGCAGCGCAGTAAAACAAAACCAAGCGATGTTGCTTCAAATGCTAAGTTAAGGCATTAAGGGATTCAGAGCCCATCTTAATGTCCTTGAAAACCCATCTGGTGCCTCCTCAACCCTAAAAAGTCTGATCCAGATGTCTAGCACAGTACTGAGATGGAGTTTGAACTCTGAATCTGGCACTGAAATCAGAGCTCATTAGGAGTTGACGTCAGCTGATTGTGGAGATGAGGAATGAGGGACAGGAATGTGTTGCGTCCCAACAGGCACATTTTAGAAGGAAAAGAAATTTGCTGGCATTAGACAGTTTTATGACACTGTATTGGTATGCCATTGCAAAAGCATAGGCCTAAAAATGGAGGGTATAACTTTCCGCTGTTATACTAAATTAATATATGAACATTATATGGATGGCGAGGCAGTGGCGCAGTAGGTAGTGCTGTGGCCTCACAGCAAGAAGGTCGCTGGGTCGAACCTCGGCTCAGTTGGCGTTTCTGTGTGGAGTTTGCATGTTCTCCCTGCCTTCGCGTGGGTTTCCTCCGGGTGCTCCGGTTTCCCCCACAGTCCAAAGACATGCGGTACAGGTGAATTGGGTAGGCTAAATTGTCCGCAGTGTATGAGTGTGTGTGAGAGATGGGTTGTGGCTGGAAGGGCATCCGCTGTGTAAAAATTTGCTGGATAAGTTGGCGGTTCATTCTGCTGTGGTGACCCCGGATTAATAAAGGGACTAAGCCGACAAGAAAATGAATGAATGAATGAACACTATAGGCACACATGATTTATTAAATTAAGTAAATTACTGATCTGTCATTTAGTTGATACTTTCATCAAAAGTGACCTAGAGTCGGTCTGCATTAGGGAATGTGCTCACAGTTAATAAGCTTGTAATCATAAATGCACAAGAGTTTTGGTATTAGTATAATTTTTACATTTGAATATACATTTAAATTTTTTAAATCGGTTTGATTGAAATAATCTTGTTTGCTACTTCAATTTAAGATCTAGAAATTGTTAAGGACGCACATGATAACAGGATTCATTTAAAGTGTGAATTGCTGAATTATCAGATTTTATGATATCTTCATACAAGCAATCAAACAGCTTTTACAGTTAAAGAAAAAAAATATTAGCCCTTCTGTGAATTTTTTTTTTTTCTAAATATTTCCAAAGTGATGTTCAAAAGAGAACGTGTATTTTGTAGTTTATTTTGCTATAATATTTTTTTCTTTGTAAGAAAGTTTTATTTCTTTCAGGTTAGCTGGAATAAAAGCACTTTTATTTCTTTTAATTATTTTTAAGGTTAATATTTTTAGCCCCATTAAAAACAAACCATTGCTGTCCAGTGACTTGCCTACTCAAACTAACTTGCCAAGTAAAATGAATTAACCTAGTTAAGCCTTTAAATTGCATTTTAAGCTGAATACTAGTATCAAGTAAAAATAACGTACTGTTACTAAAGCGACAACAAATGAATTTACAGTAGTTATTAGAAATTAAATATTTAAAAGTATTCTGAAAAGGGCGGCGGTCCCACAGTGGGTAGTGATGTCACCTCACAGCAAGAAGGTTGCTGGTTTGAGCCTTGGCTGGGTCAGGTAGCATTTCTGTGTGGAGTTTGTATGTAGTTTCCGTGTTGGCTTGGGTTTCCTCTGGGTGGTCCGGTTTCCCCCACAAGTCCCAAGACATGCGCTATAGGTAAATTTTGTAAGCTAAATTGCCTATACAGTATGTGCGTGAATGAGAGTGTATGGGTGTTTCTTAGTGATTAATTTGTATTTTATTTTAATTTTACTAATATATTTTTATAAAACCTAAATGTATATGTGTGCGACGAGTTTTCTTTGTTTGTTGTCTAAAGAAAGATAAAGTGAAAAGCTCTTTGTACTGCATGTTTCATAACATGTTCAATAAAAAAACTTTTAAAAAAATAATGAAACTATGTGCTCAGAGAGAGACAAATATTCTGCTCTGGCTTTATTTCAAACAGTTTCAGTTTCGTTTTTTTTTTTACAGAAAGTGAATGGCATACTTTTGAAACTGTCAGCTTGACCACTATTAGAACAATTACGCTATTACCATAGACACAATCCACAGACAGAAAATACCTACAAACAAGTATTAACATCCAATTATTAACATTCAAACCACTGCTAATCCAAAGTGATGAAACATGAACCAAATGTTCTTCATGGCTTGTGAACAGTGTATGCATCTGCATGATCTGCATAACTACAGAATCTAAACTAAATAAAATCACAACAGTGGTTTTGCAAATTAAAGTCTCATTTGAGCCTTCCTTTCAATCTAATCTCAGCCCGTCAAACCGATAAAGTCCCCCCACAAAAAATGCTGCCGAAAGCTGATGGATCCAGC